TAACGTGCCCCACCGGCCACCTGTGTCCGTCTCGGAGGGACCTCACCAAGGTTCCTTACCCCCAAAGCCTGTGGAGGTCCGTCTCGGAGAGACCTCACCAAGGTTTTCACCCCCAAAGCCTGTGGAGGTCCGTCTCGGAGGGACCTCACCAAGGTTCCTTACCCCCAAAGCCTGTGGAGGTCCGTCTCGGAGAGACCTCACCAAGGTTTTCACCCCCAAAGCCTGTGGAGGTCCGTCTCGGAGAGACCTCACCAAGGTTTTCACCCCCAAAGCCTGTGGAGGTCCGTCTCGGAGGGACCTCACCAAGGTTCCTTACCCCCAAAGCCTGTGGAGGTCCGTCTCGGAGAGACCTCACCAAGGTTTTCATCCCCAAAGCCTGTGGAGGTCCGTCTCGGAGGGACCTCACCAAGGTTTTTCCCCCAAAGCCTGTGGAGGTCCTACCTCACCAAGGTCGATGTCCCTGCAGGGTGCCCACAGGAACCCTGTAGGGAAATCTGAACCCTGCAGGGTGCCCACAGGGTGTCCACAGGGTTGAAAGCCTGCAGGGTGGCCACAGGGCAGGGCACAATGGCCACGGGTGGAGTCATGCCGCCGGGGCCGGCTTTACATATGCTAGGAGGCTATATGTACATGCAGCGAGAACCATCATTTGATCATGGAGCCACCTCATTTTGCAATCACTACATGTAAGACTAAAGATCCCACTGGAGGGAGGCAACACTATTATTATTATGCTACATCGCCGCTCGAACAGCAAAACCTCCTAATAAGATTAATTGTATGTAACATCGGTCGTCCCGGTGGTCCAGTGGTTGACCTCAAGACCTCTACTCGCGGAGTCGTGAGTTCAAATCCTCATGGGTGAAAAATGTACAAGTTTGCGGTTGAACGTGAAAAAAAAGCCGAAAAGCTCTAGTGAGCACAACATTTTGACGTTATTTAGCACCGTTGACGAGGGAAAGAGACGTGCGAACCTTCCTCGAGATAAAGAAAGAAATCAGCATGCACCGCAGGCGGAAGGTGGGGCACGAAAATAAAGTAAATATCTTGAAGAAAAAAGCCATGTGTTTACGCCCTCCTGTGTGACCCTGAATGGTTGGTTGTAGTTGTACGAAAAAGAAAACTGAAAAGGGTAGTACTCCAAATACACTGAAAAAAGTAGTGTACGTCTCACCACGAAAAATGGGGGGACTGCCGCAATAACAAGTAGGCTAGATGTGGGCTACGTGTCTACTCGTGTTATCAGTCCACGTGCAACGGTGTTGCTGCTGTATGAGATAGAAGTAGACAGGTACCATCTATAGGGCGACACTCGGGCAAGAGCCCGGAGGATCGTGTTGGCGTCGTCAACAGAACGGTTTTTGCTGTAGAACGGGGTGTATCAGCTGAGGGATGATTGAGAGAGTCAAGAGAAGGGAGAGAGAGCTCCCCCCCCTCTGCCACTCTTCCACCGATCGACAAGCAAAGAGCTGTCTGAATAATCAAACAAAGCGAGTCCCAACACCACCTGCTATGCTACTGCTCTATGATAGTCGGGTCCGTCGCATATCGCAATCACATTTTACGTTTGCCTGTAAACACGAGGGCGTCCGTGTCGGTTGCAGTACTGCACTAACATATCTAGCCCATTGAGTGCAATAATGGTTGAACTCTAGATAGCGTCACAGCACTCACGAAGAATTAAGCGCGGAATACACCAAAAACAAGTACAAGTAACTCATCTAGTCTACCTGTGGAGACCACACCAAGGATAGATTCCATCTCTCAACCTCTCCCCCTTGGCGTAGACTAACCGAGAACAGAACGAACGTTATTGGACACGAGAGAGAGAGACCCCGCCATCCAACTGCAAGAAGAGCAGAAGGCATGCTGCGGAAAATTTATCTTGTAGTGCGAGTTCATCCGATACCTCCACCCTTGCCCGACCGGGTCTCAAAATCCGGTGTCCACCTATTGCGCACGTCTCGCGATATCTGGGGCATGTACATTTTCGTACCTTTTCCATGGAACGAGTCCTCGGAATGCCATGAAACATTCCACGGGAGTTGCATGGCCTTCCATGACCGTCTATGGACTTCCATGGAAGTCCCATGAAACTTCGATGGAATGAAATGGAAGGTCGATGGAAGTCCTTGAATTCCATGGACGTTCATGGCATTTTTCACGAACGTTCTTGAATAGTTTCTCCATCCATGTCCATGACATTTTTGTCATGAAACTTTGCAAGAAAATATTTCACAACGTGTCGTGAAACATTTCATGGACATTCGTGACACGCATTCATGCACGTAATGTGTAATGGAACGTTGGCAATCGCCATCCACGAAATGTTTCATAAACGCGCTCGTGGAGTTCCACGGAATCTTTAATGAACGCCTATGACACATTTCACAGATTGTATGGAACGCCATGGAATCCCATGGAATTCTTTTAAGAATACTGTTTTATATACTTTGATAAACATTCAAGGATGCCCACGAAGTGTTTTGAAGACGACGTGCCAGGAGGAGACCTTGGTTTGTCCAACACCATGCGTCCGCCAATTTGGCTCCATTGGAATATTGATTGGACGCCCATGAAATGTGTGGTATACTTCCATCATGAAATCTTTCATGGACTTCCATGGCCTTCTCATTTTTTCGACGGACTTCCATGAACTTACATGGTCATTCCGTGGAATGCCATGGACTCTGATGATCTTCCATGGAATGTTTCATGGAATTCTGTGGACATCCATGAAACATTCCACACCAAAAATTACTATGGTGTAGATGACGGTGACATCTGGAGTATGCCTCGGTAGAGCATCGCGTATCATGGCCCCTTGCCAAGTTTCATTGACTTCTTCCGCGCCCAGCAGCTACGCCACAAGCATGCGGCATGTGCGACCATGCGCGCTTTTTCTCTCTGTGCCACTTTCCCTGTCATCCGTCTCCCCGTCTTTTGTCTGTGTTGAGTTCTCTTCATGTCTTCTTCTCGAGCACTTTCGAAAAATTCGAATCCCGGCGTCCGCGTGGCAGCATCCGACGGCATCCTCAACTTGATGGCAGTGAGTGGTGGCATACAGACAGTAGTAAATGCGGGTGTTGGTGGACACACGCCAGACATACTTATGCGGCCATATGCGACCATGCGCGTTGTTTCTCTCCTCTTCACGGTTCGTCGTCTTCCTGCCGGTCTTGTCGCCCCTTTGCTCTCTTCGTCTTCTTCCCGACATTTTCGGGGGGGGAAAGTCGAATCTCGGCCTCCGGTTTGCAGCAACCACCGGCATCATATTCATTGAAGTGGCAGTTTCGTAGCTCAATGTAGTGTGAGCGGACTGGGTGAGTTGCCGACGAGACCAAGTGCCAAAAAGTCATGATACGACACAGGCGCATGCGGTGCGCCGATCGATGTGCAAGCGTGCTGCGTACGCCAGAACTGTGCGACAAATCGCCACCATGTGCACCGTTTAGTTCCTCGTCACCCGTCGGTTGCCGTCTTCCTGACTGTACTTTCGCTCTATTTATCTTCTCTTAAAAAATTGGGAAATGTCGAGTCTTGGGGTCCTCTTCCCAGAAACCAACAGCATCATCGCCAAACGTAGCAGTAGATTGATTTTCCTGCGCCCATGCATCTTCATGCACGCACGCTGACTGGTTCATTTGACTTCCATGAACACTCGTCAAGTAGTCTAAGCGATTTCCATGGGCGTTTAGGGAACTTCTTGGGAGTGCAGTTAGGGCGGTTCACGAGCGAAGTCCATCGAAGATTAACGTTCGATAGAAGTTATTGTAGTGGAAGTTTCAACTAGCTTTCATGGCAGTCGCTCGGTGAGCTTCCATGGAAGTCAAATCCAGTACTGTGAGTTCCACGGAAATCGTCCACCTTCGGTAGCTTCCATGGACGTAGAAGTTCGACTTCTATGGAACTATGCTGTATCACCCTAGTTCAGATCCCATGGAAGTCGACATTAGCGATGTCCATGGAAGCTGAGAAACGCGGACGACTTCCATGCATGGCATGTAATGTTCGTTGCATGCAAATCATACTCATAGGGATTGTCATGGATGCTGGATCCCACTAGCTTCCATGGAAGGAATCACCCGAGTCCAGCGTCCATGTAGGAAGAATCATCGCGACACACTTTCGTGGAAGGTCCTTGAGAACTTTCATGGTTATCGCTCACGAGGATGCCCGCCGTCTACTGCAGTAGCCCACCCAGCGGTACCCGAAAACAATTTATTAGATTCAGGAAGGCAGCGCCGACCATGCTCGTCACGTTAATTAATCACAACAATGTACACGTATGCATATCCTCTTTCCGCACCCTCAACAAAGCCAGCCGCGGAAATTTCGACATGCCGCTAATCTGAGTTTTTTCCGGTCGACCAGGCTAACTGACCCCCGCACACACGCAAGCCTTCTGGGGCGTCCCGCTGATATCCACGGCAGACTTTTCCGTCAGCACCCACGGACGTGTCGCACGGAAGCTTCCGCGGACTTCCGTGGGCGTCGTCCGCAGCTGTTTGCCTATCGAGCGACCGTCCGTGGACTTCGGGCGCGCCCAATGCAGAGTCAGATAGTCTGGTGCACACCAGTGACGACGTCGCCGAACCCCCACGAACCCTCCGTGAGACGGCAACCTTCAAATAACGAAAATTACACTATTTATGTCATTGGAGGATAGTCCGCTCTGTACCAGACGCAACTGCTGGTCATGTCCTAGTCACCACGTTGGGTGTCTCCTAAGGGTGTGCATAGACTCATATATTTGCGGCACATGCGCACTTAGTATATTGAGCGCGCGCACACCCCGCGCGGGTCATTTTATCACGTATTCAAGGTTGGTTCGATCGCTTTACGGACAAGAGCCAATGTCCCCCGTAAAACCTACCTTGGAGTGCGCTTCCAAGACACCCACACCCGCACACCCACACGCCTGCTTTTGGTGTTTGGGCGACGTCTGTAGCGACAGGTGGCCGCTCTAACACTTTTGGTGAGGTAGCAGTTGCGCCATCATGGAGAGCGCCGCGACAGAGCCCTTCGCGGAGTGGTTTACCGGCGAGTTCCTGCCCTTCGGAGACCTCGTGAGTGACGTCTGGCTCTGGTCGACCTTGCCCCGGGAAAAGCCAGAGGACTACAGCTGCTCGGCGGAAACCTACACGGTACGGCCGACGCCGTACGAGCGTGTCTTGTTGTGGTTCTTCTCGTTGGGGTATTTCGATGCCCCTTGAGTGTGCGTACGATGCGTGCTCGCGACATTTCTGTATAGCCGAACCGACTGCATTGGGGATTTTGCTCCCTCCGTAGAAGGTGTTGGTTGGATGTGACATACGACACTCCCTTCTGCACCCGTGCGTGCGTCAGGAGGGAAATGGCAAATAGGTGTTCTTGAAGTACCAGTTTTGAAAAGGTGAGCGTTGACGCAAATCTCTGCGATGGAGAGAGACGTGCTCCAGTACACGTCACACACTCACGCTAGACACAGGTGTTTCTTCTACAACGCGGCGCTGGCCAAGAGCGAGTGAGAGAATGAGAGAGAGAGAAGAGAGAGAGAGAGAGAGATCTGAGCAAACGGTAACGACGTCTTCGAGCAAGCCCAACCCCGTCTGAGATTCCATGAGGTTCTAACCGTTCTGCCGGAGAGTTCTCTTAGTTTCTAAAACCCCATGTCTGCCCCGCAAGAATGGCGGGGATTTTGTTTTCTATATGGGAAGCAGTCTCCTGAACTACGAACTAGTCTTCTGCACCGTACGTTGCGGTTGTTCACTTTTTCATCCCTTGGAGGGAGGCAAGATTGCTTTTTGTGTCCGCTAGGATGGAAACAACAAGCCTCGGAGGCACTCCCCGAATCATGGATTCTCCGAGCATCTGCGACCTTCCAAGCTGACACATCATCTGCAACCTGCGATGGCTTATCTCGCCCTCATGTCTTCCTCACCGCTCGCGCCAGCTCGCTGTGAGAAGCTTGCGCCGCATATCGTCCTCGCCCCTCACTTCGGCACTTCGGTTGTTACCCCGTCTCAGGTGATGCGGGCGCTGCTGATGGTGGGAACCGTAGTCGATGCCATCCCGGACGTCGCGATACTGCTGGGGCTGCTGGCGGGGCTGGTGGTCGCCGTCGTGGGCAAAGCCCGAGCCGTGATCACCCCCACGGAACAACGGCGAACACCGCCAATCAGCGTGAGGAACGTGGTAAAGAACGTTCCGGGCCTGGCAAGGCGAGTATGATCGCCACCAACCTCTTGTGCGTATTGTTCGAAACCCTTTTCAGCGGTGGTTGCTGTTCACCAATGTAAAATGAAAATCGGCGACTGCGCCGTTGCTTTCCTTCGGTCGCTTGTACAAGAGGTGTCACACATACCGGGGATGTTGAAATATGAGCAAGGCTATACCTCCACCCCAAAAAAACACAACTACAGCGATGATAGTGTAGCTCAAGAGGAAAGCAGGAAAATGTGTTTGATGACTGTGGTGTCCGGCCTTTGCTGCCTTTCGCTTTTCCTGCGGGAGTCGCAGAGAACCCCGCGAACAACACGAACGAACCATTTCGCCGTGGCGACGTGACACAGACGTATCCACTTCTTGCCTCCTTCATCCGCATTCCATGTGACGCCTGCCCCCCCGTGATTCTGCTCGAACAACAGCACATTGGGGTAGTGGTATGTATTCGGAACGCGAGACGTTTAAGTCGACTTTTTCGATGTATTGGTGGACCGAGTGAAGTGGTTCGGCACTTTGTTTTTGTGGATGACGGACGATGGCCATCTCGCTCTTAGCCAGGCGGGCGTGACGATCTCGCAACGTTTCGGGTGCATTCAGCAACGATTTTGTTTGGCGACCGAACGTGAAAAGAAAGGTCGTTTTTTGCCGAGCATCTCGCGCTGTTGTATCTTCATAAATCGGGTTAACACAGAGTTCAATATACAGCAACCCCACTTTACACCAACCACAAACTCTGGAAAACCGCTTCTCTTTGGAACGAAACGGAACATCTCAGGTACGTCTTCTCCGACGGAAAGTCCATCACCAACTTCCTCATCAACCGGGTGGGGCACAAGGAGACCACCTGGGACAACACGATGGAGCTCGTGGCGTGGCACACGCTCGTCTTCTGCCACGCCCCCTTCCTGTCGGTGCAGAGGCGGTGCTTCCGGTACCAGGTCAACTCGCAGTTCAACGGCTACCTGACGATAATCCTCGTCCAGCTGATCGCCGGGGGCCTGACCGAGGCCAGCTCGATCTTCTTCGCGGTGATGGGGGGCGGGACCGTGTCGATCGTCAGCGCGTGGTTTGGGCTGTACTCCCTGGTCATGACCACGATGCTGGCCGTGTACCGGGGGAACCTGGTCCGGAAGTTCGGGCCCAACGCCACCGTCACCTCCCCCGCGGCGGCGCGGAACGGCTGCTGGCGCGCGCTGGAAGGGGTCTCCGACGCCCTGTGCGGCCTCATCCCGGCAGCCGTGTTCGGTCTCGGCGCCTTCATGGTCATCATGGGCATCACCTTCTTCTCCACGGTTGGGGCGTCCTCCACGGAGGCGTGGATGCTGGTGGTGCCCGGGTCCGTGGTCGCCCTCTTGGGCTGGGTCTCCAGCCAGCTGCTGATACGCCATTACCACAGCACGTCGCAGGATGGGATGATCATTCGAGAGCAAGAGCCGGGTGTTTAGGCGTCTCGGGGCTGCTGCTGCTGCTGTGTTGTCGTCATTCGTGTGCCTGTTTTTCTGGTGGTGAATCGTGTTGGTGAAACGCATTTAAATTTTATTTTTGGAACGTTGGCTGGTCTTATTCTCCTAGTGGTAACGCATCATCAGGTTTGATCACTACGGAACGCGACACACGACCTTGTTGTATGTATTGTTTGAGGAGTGACTAGGCAGCTATGTTACAATGCCCTTCGGTGAAGAGGTACCAAGGATCGAGGTCGCTCGTCGGTGCTTATCTTCCGTGGGGCTAGGCAGAACTGAATGTATATACCATCATGTAGATATATATATATATGCGTAGACAGAGGGAACATCTACTGGGCGTTCGCCTCCTGCGGAAATCCAACACAAGCACGCAATGAGTCAACATGTGTATAAGTTTCGCTATGTAGACTAGTTGGTCCTGTTGCGCAATGATCACTCGGGGGGGGAGCACGAGCAGCTATTGTTGTCGGGACCCGACGGTAGTGATTGAGATCCATAAGGTCTGGTGTGCTTCGTCGAAGAATTTCGTGGGGCGGCATGTGACGCTGTATTCTCACGCTTTTGATAAAAGAAATTCGCATGGTTTTGAACAGTACGCAGCATTTTTAACGGTCGGGGACGCAAGAGTTTATGTAGGGCGTCCAACATAGCCTCCACCAAAGGTTAACTATTGATAAATTTTCGTCTCGGTAGGTAGGTCTCATAGGCGTTCGTCGAGTGCGGCCGATGTTTGTCTCCAAGTCCTCTCGAAGGACTACAAACAAAAGCCCGGAGAACCTTGGTGGCGACCCAGGGTTACGCCTTTTTGAGAGGGAAAACGGCAACTACTCAATGTCCCGTCTCATATCCTTGTGGTAGTGGAGGGTTCTTTGTCGTGAATGTCACGTTTTTGCGCCACCAGAAGTTGCGTGAAGGTTTGTGAGGGCGAACGCAGAAAATGGGTGCTCGTCGGGTTGTTTTTTCCAAATGACAAGCCACGGTTGGTTGCCAAGGAATCGATGGGGTGACAACATGTATCTCCATGGTCGGGATCGTTTGGATTGATTGCGTGTTACGTGTCGGAAGGGGAAACAAGCGGAATGAGTTTTCGAATGAGGGTGAACTGAGCGTGGATGGACGCTGACTTGATGAACAAGAATATCGTCACCTCCTCTTCGGCGAATTTTTGGTTTCGCCCGGCGGGGGTGAATGTGGTCCTCGTGCTGAACGTCTCGGTGCCTCAGTCATCGCCAAACACCGCGCAGTATTTTAGCATGCGTACGGCATCCTGTTGGGGACATTGGTTCGCTCGAGGCGATCCAAACTCCTGCAGACTGTAGAAATCGAGGTACCCGACAATCGACACATGCATGCCAGATTCGTGCATGTATTTTTCCGTGTGTGATACTACATATAACAAGGTTACATATCGCGTGCCTAAGGGCATTCTGCGAAAGTTCATCCAGGCAGGTTAGTTCCTGGTGCGTGGCCGCCCGTTTGGATTATCACTTGTGAGCGTGGGTTTGCCACGAGGGAATCTCAGCTTCGTGCGCGTTCCAAACAAAGAAAACAAGGCCGATCTCACATGATGTAGCGGTCACGTTGCACGCTTACAGGTTATGTTGGCGAGGACTATCCTTATGGTGCGTTCCATGTCACAGAGCGGCACAGGGTGCTCCCATCCCTAGACTCTGTGTGGATACAGCAGTAGTACGATGAACAAACAGACACCGATTAACATTGGCGATGACAATATTTAGACTAGTTTGTGGGCCCCAAGGCGCACACTGCCGGAAGTACCGTCCATGTTATTGTTGCACACACACCAGCACAGGATACAATCTTCTGTCTGTATACGGCTGTTGTTCGATATGTATATCATGTGCAGCGAAGAGTGCATGATGGCTTCAGCCAGCGAGCGATTCCTTTGACGCCCTCTTCGCTGCATATGTACAACTCGCACCACTGACTGTGTGTTTGCATCGTTCGTCGTCTGCTACCCATGCGCAAGCGCAGCATCTCACGGCGGTCGAACCTCGAAACACGAGTGTCTCCGTCGAAACTACGTCTCATTAGACTCGTCGTACCTTGTACGAAGGGGGGGTATTGAGCGGGCCCGGCCAACGTGTGTTGGTGAACCGGGGCAAAGGTGCGGATTTTTGTACTCCGTGTACGTCCGGCAACTTTGCCGCGCAGGCAATATGCTCTTGTGGAATGGACTTAGAATACTGTAGATCAGATACGTGCGTCGCCATTGATCACGTCCGCTCGAGAGGATTACTGCAGCCCTTGTGCATGCCTTGGGGCACAGCAGTCCGGCGAATTCGATTTTGCGGGTGTTATTAGATCTACGGAGAAGGTACAATAGTTGCTGTCAACAGATCCTCGGGGGAGAACAGGGAGTTTCTACTTGGTTTCCTCGGAGATTCGATTAGTGAGGGAACTGCGTCACGGATGGATGTCGTGATGCACTCCTCTCCGGGTGGGATTCCGGTTTCCACTCGCTCCTCTCATACAAGACCCTCGCATCTCAGCCCTCACTGGCCAAGCTGCCTTTCTCCACAAACCTACAGGAAACAAGCGGCCTACACCGCCGTACCCGGGTGACGGGCGGATGTTTGCCGATGATGATGCTGATTAGATTCAAACGAGGTACGTACTGCTGTAGCTTGAACAATGCAAGGACATTTGACTCTGTACCACTGCCGAGAACCTTCTGCCACTGCTCTCTGCGGTGTCGCGGTGTGGTCTCGCGCCTTTTCGCATCCCCAGAAGGTCCGTCGGCGATGAGACTTTTCGGCACAACTTTTCGTAACTTCGGTTCGAGTATTGACCTGGACCAATCAACGAAAAAGCGCCAGGTGGCCCTCACATCACGTTTTATCGTCTTCTTGTGCCCCTCAACTATCGGTACAAGCTATATCGGCACCTGTCGGGCTACCTCCATGCGTGGCCCTTGCGCGCGAGGCCATCTTATCCTCCTGAGCTAGCGGTACCTATGGTGAGACCCGGGGGGCGCACGTATGTGTAGGATTCAGACGGATTCAGACCACCGTTATTCACCGCACGTATCAACCATCTGCGCATGTATTAACCATCTGCCATCTGCAGTCAGAACCCGATATAGCGACTCACGACATTGCTGAGGGTGTGTACCATCAGTACTCTCAAGAGGAGGAGCGTGATCAATAGGATGTGCGCCAGTTACCACCTCTTCTTGGTGTCAAAACTGGGGCGCGCGGCAGCCACTGCTGTACTGTGCTGTAGCAGGTTTCGAAGTGTAATTCCGGGTGATCGCAGGTCTCTACAACTCTTCCACTCATCTCTCCTCATGCACTGTAACCAGCTGCATTACACTACTGTACCTTCGATTGTTTTCAGTTTAGAAACGACACAGCACCAACGTTCCTCAACAACACTTGCTGCTTCAACGTGTGGGCATCCCTCGTGTTTTTCGAAATTCCGAACACGGTGGTGGGTGATATTCTTACTCTTCATATAATATTTTTCTGTTCGAAAGTGCGCAGATTGGTGGAGAATCGGAAATCACCGACGACGTGGATGATTGCGACTGCTAGCTGCTGCAGATTGACTGAATATTGCTGTATAGCGCTTAACCTGCGCCCCTTTCGATTTTCCCTTGAGGAAAGTGGCATGTCAATAGCTGATCATGTGTGTGTTCCTTGGAAATGGGAACGTTCGGCATTTCTTCGCAGCCGCGCACATGCTACGGAGCTGGTGCCGTCAGGGAGCATGATCTAGGCTTCGGTACATCGAGATTTCTGTCCCAGGAAGCTTTTGTTGGCTACAAGGCTTTACTGGGCGCCTACTTCCTTTTCTGGGCGGTGTACTGGCCGAAGTTCGAGGGCTTCTCTCGGCAGGCCATACATCAGCTGACCTTTTGGACGTGGGATGTCTGCACAGGATGTGGGTCCACTTCTTTACGGATCGCTTGGCAAACTGTTTGCACGAGCATTGGCAGGGTTTGCCCTTCATGGTGTAGAGGAAACTCAACTTGTGTAGATTATGTACAGCAGAAGTCTACAGTAAGTCTTTTCCAACATACGTGTTTCCTTGTTTGCACGGTAGAGATAAAGAGTGCACCAAACAACAGCACCAAGTACCGTAAACGTCGGAGTTTTCCCCCCGGGGAGGGGATCGTTTTTTTTTTCTGAAACCAAACCCCCCGGGGGGAAATTGACATACCGGGGGGCAACTTGCGGGGGGAGTTGGTTGTTTTTTTTCCAACGCTACCCCGGGAGGAAGCCCCCCGCCGGGGGGGTTGTGCAAAATAATGATGGTCCACACACCAAACACACAGAGAGTGGCAAAACTGAGATGGATAAGGTTTACGAGCAAGCGTTCAACAAGCAGAGGGAGGAGGAAGGTAAGAGCAACGAAGGCGAAGAGAAAAAAGACAGCAAGGAGGACAGCAGCTGAGGGAGTTTGTCTCGTCCCGCAAGTGATTCCAAGAAGAGGAAGGGCCCGCCTTCCAGTGACAAACGGTACACCTAAATCTCGCTCGAAGCGCAGATCTGCAAATGAATATTCCGTCCCATATCATGCTTTGTGTGCTCTGCGATGCAACAAAATCGACTCAGAAAATTAGAGAAATACATGCCCCGGGGGGGAACTAGTGGGAAAACTGGTGCCCCGGGGGGAAATTGAAATACCCGGGGGGGTGTTGTTTTTTTGGTCGAAAACGATCTACCCCGGGGCTAAATCAAAGAAACCATGCTTCCAGGCCGAAAATGTAATGGGGGGAGGGGAAAACTCTACTGGGGGGGGCAAACTCTGACGTTTACGGTATTCTCACGGTGTGTTTTCACAAAAATACGAAGAAAAAAAGGGAGACCACCATCAGATACAGTTTGTGGTACCTTGGGGGACCTTGCATCACCTCGTTGTCACATATGAGATAGAGAGCCAAACATCCAACCAGTTGACCGATGTTTTTTTTTCTCGTGGAGGGAAGGAACACTGTTGTTCCTGTTTGCTTCCGCTTGTTTCTGGCAAGAACTCTGCTTCCTTTGGGGTACTCCGCATTAATTGGTTCTCTATCCATGTTGTTCTTGGACTCCGCGGGAGGGGTGGTGCTCGCGAAACAAATTCCCCCCTGAACTCAGCAACAGGTGGGGGTAAGTCTTCAAGAAAGAGAGTACGGCCAGCACGGATGCCCACTCACCCGATCCACCATGCAGCAGCCATGGCGGTGGATCTCTCTCATAGAACCGACGATGCCAGGCCGTTGTTGACTGCACATCGAAAAAAAACAATTGTACGTATTTCGGTTGTGGAGCCGGGGCATCCCCGAAGGTATCCAGATGGAGGGGCGGGGGGGTTCTCGTACTGCTGTCAATTTACATTTCCAAATAGTAGAGCGAAAGGCGGGAGGTGGGGTTGCGGCTTTTCGAGATCCCTCGTCCCCCTTAAAAAAAAAAACGAAACTACCAAACGTACATCACCGAGCAGGGAGCCCCGCAGTGCTGTCCGCGCACATCGGGGGCACGTGATAAACGGGCGGGGTATCCTCGACAGCGACCACGATGTAAGGGCCGTCCGATTTTCCCTCTGACCGTAAGACCCCAATGCTGCATCCAACCTCCCATTCCCAGTCGGTCCCGTCTCATCTCGGTGAACCCTACGTCCCGCGCTCTTCCAGACTTCCTTGTTTCCACCGCCACGGCATTCATGTGCTTGAGAGCCATGGAGAGATACGGAGGAACCTCGGCGGCGACAGCGCTGGGAAGAACTCTCTCCATGCACGAGCTGGGACGAACCCTCTCCATGCACGAGCAACGAAGCGGCAACAGCACCGTCAGCTCCACAGCACCATCTTCTGTGATGGCACCGTCGGCAACAATACCGTCTGCGATGACATCAGCGGCGGCGGCGGCATCAGGAACGGCCGCGGCGGCAGGAGGGATGGTGCCGGATGGGAACGCCCAGCCCCCGGTACCGCGGGGGTTGAGGTGGCTCCAGCTCGTGCTGTGGAATATCGCGTGCATAGCCTCCCTGCTCGTCACGTTTGTCTGGGCTTCGGAAGACGTGAGCGTGGTTTTTGGAAAACAAGCATGGCACCTTACAACGTGCCATATCGACGTAGGGTTAGCCTTTGGTGCAGATGCGCAAACGTTGACAGTAGCATGCTATACCCCCTGTCGAACTTGAGAGCATTGTCGTCCACCCGCCTTGTTAGCGAGGGCCAAAACCCACCGCCACTCTCCACCGATAGCTGATTACTCAGGACGAACGCCCGCGTGTTTCGCGGGCACCCGCAAGAGGGGTAGTACTTATGCCGAGAGCAGACCTTGTGCTCTTTTCCCGGAGTGGAATGGATGCGGCAAGCAACAGTCGTTAATCGAATAACATCATTTTTGTCCTGACTATCGGTTGTACAAGGAACGTGTGCGCCTTCCTGTCTTAGTCTTTCCAGGCCGGAAACCTACCGGAAAAACGTGATTTTCCCTTTCTGATGCCGCGCCCTTCCCATGCATCGCACGCGCCCACCTTCTCTTTCACGCGGCGTTCATCACGACGCTCGCGGACGTGGTCGATATCTACAGTACGTCCGACAGGTTCGGCAGGGCACCAAGAACTTCGACGTTCAGGCTCACGGCCTGGTAGCGTTCTTCATGGTGAGAAACATAAAGCTTTCGGGTTCCCGTTTCCCGCGAATATAGGTGCCCGTGGCGTTTCTTCTCCCGGCGCTGCTTGCGAGAACATAGGGCCGTAACTGCGCGAGCGATCGCACGCCCCCCCCCTCCCCCCTAGATCGAGTTTCATAGCTCGATTCCTCAACAACCAAGAGGGTGCGAGAATCGGCCGATACCTCTTCCAAGGAAAGCTCTCGACTAGATGTCAAAAATTCCCCACAATTTTCGGCCTCAACGTGCCCTCTCGATTGCAGACCACTCGAGCTATGAAACCGGTCTCTCGGGGGGGGGGGGGGGGGGGGGGGCGTACTCTTATGTTTTGCATGCCTTAGCGGGTAGACCATTGACCACGCGTCCTCGAGAGGACGGAGCATTGTTCCCACAGGACCGATCACCGATGGCCAATCGTACCTTCCTACTTTGCCAAAGGTGGCTCAATAATGTCTTCCCTAGTCTGTCTATCCTAACGATATCCCTTCCCGCCTTTTCAAACCACTTCCTACTCCCCAGTATAACTACCGTCCTCTCCTCTCTATTTCATGCCTCAAACATCTCCCTGTACGTCCCTTGTATTTTTCCCAGCTCAGTCATGTACACTTCCCTCTCCTCTTCGTACCACGGACATTCCGCGACTGCATGAACACGGTCTTCGCATTCGAAGCCGCAATCATATTTGAACTTGTCGTCTTCGTCGTCTACCGTCCTATGTCTTCGTCGACGTTCTCGAAGGCCTATGTCCCCGGTCCTGAATTTGACTTTAAGCTTTGTCCCTGCATCCATTGGTCCATGTAGGTAGTCCTTGAACCCTATTCCTTCTTTCAACATTCCGTACACTTCTAGACCCTCCTTATCCTTGGTTTCTTTCCTTAGATTCCGTTCTTCTCTCTCGGCACAAGCAACAGATATCTTCTCCTTGAACCCCTGTAGACCCTCTGTTTCCAGCGTTTCATCTTCGTCGATGTCTAACCCCTTCCATACGTCCTCTACAACCTTGACCCATTCCGTGGGTTGTCTACCCCTCTTTTTGTTTGCCCACTTCGCCCCCCATACTATTCTCGGCAACCTCTCCTCTCCCATCCCGCACATGCGATACTGCCATGTCAGCTTCCTTGCGTCTCTTCCCGACCGTAGGGATTGGATCCCCAATTCTGCCATTACAGCTGCATTACTTGTGCGCTTGGAGCATCGTAGGATGATTTTCGCTGCTTTCGTCTGCGCCGCCTCGAGTTCTTTCACTCCCTTCTTATTTCCTTCCCATACTTCTCCGGCGTACTCTAGCGGCGGTACGATTACGCTCTTCAAAACCGCCAATTTGATGCGTGTATCGAGGTGCCGGTTTGCGAGTATTGGGTGCAGCTTCCCTGCTCGTGCTTTGCCGTTTTCCGCTACCTTGGACATGTGTGCATTCCACGAGCAGTCGTTTGCGATCTCTACTCCGAGGTATGTGTACTGGTCCACTACTGCCATCTCCTCGATCCCCCACTTCCATCTATGTTCTACTGGTTCCTCCCTGACCTCGTTGCACACCATGACGGCACTCTTCTTAACGTTGGCAGACAATCTACATTTATCAGTAAACTTCTTCGCCGCGTCAATTTGTAGTTGCAGTCCCTCAGGGGTGTCCGACATACCAACAAAATCATCCGCAAACAGTATTCTTGACACCGAAGTTTCCGTGTCCCCTACTTTTACTCCCTTCCGGACTGCCTCTACGACTTCCAACAGATCGTTGATGAACACCTGGAACAAGTTGGGGACAGCGTGCAACCTTGTGGGACCCCCTGCTCAATGTCGAAGAACTTAGACAGTTCTCCGTCTAGCATGACCGCGCTTTTCTTCTTCAGCACTCTCCACATTTTCCCCTTGATCCCGTACTTGGACAATTGTTTCCACAGCCCATTTCTCCATACGGTATCGTATGCCTTTTTCACGTCCAGGAAGAAGCAGTACGTCGGCTTTCCCGCCCTCTTTCTACCTTGGATGATTCTCCCTACCGTGAATGTGTGGTCTACGCACCCCCTCTTCTGTCGGAAACCTGCCTGGCCCTCACTAATGCTACGTTCCTTCTCCAATACTCCCACTGTCCTATCGTTCAGCAATTTACAAAACACTTTTCCTACTGTGTTCAACACCTGTAGTTTCCTGGGTCAGGCTTGTCTCCTTTCTTAAACAAGTTCACAACCACTCCTTCCCTCCATCTACTTGGGGCATACTCGTTTTCCACACCCAGTTGTACAGCAGTACCATCAACTGGATCATTCCCTTCCCCCCAGATGATTTGTCCACTAAACTTTCATTCAGAGGTCCAAAAGGTCCAGTTTTGGATGGAATTTTACTCAGTGATCTAGGTGTGAAAGACATTTCTTATCAAGATGGCTCAGCAAATGATGAACCATTGGTCAGCGCAGTGGTCACTGCAGCCTTACTAGATAGACTGCCAGTCACAGGATGGGTCACTACTGATGACTCCAACTTCCGTCGAATATCAACCTTCTGCCATGGTGCTCTGCTGCGGGGGGGGAGGCAACCTACTAGCCGCGGGCATTTTAGATGTCAAGGTTGCTATTGAAGCGGATTGGAAAGGTCTGGAGTGTGCTATATTCAATTCGGAAGATGGAGATCTACGGTTGGTAAGGACATCTCTGGGAGATTTAAAGTGCACTCAACTCTTGCAAGAAGTCCACCCGGAGATAGTCATATACAACTTGGAAAGTGATAAGGACAAAATCAAGTTAGCTATGGAATCTTTGATGATAACTACAGCGAAGATAATAGTGCTGGACTGCTCTTGTCAGTTTTGCTATCAAAGATATGGACACAAGAGATATATGCGACGGTGTCTCGAGCTTACTATGTGGAGTCAGCAGATCTGAAAGCGATTCAAGTTAATATCCCATCTGGAAGGAAAAGGACTTACATTACCTTGGTGAAAAAAAGAAAAATTCTGCGAACAGAAGAAAGGCTTTTGGCATGGAAACGAGCGATCGAAAGTTCATGTGGGTCTGTACCGGATCCCATCCGCCCCTGCTGCTTTGTGGCACTGCAACTTGTTCACACACGCCTCAACCTCGTCCTCAGTGAACTCTTTTTCCAGTTCTACGTTCCCAACGTCTGCCTTCGATGTCTCTTCTCCTTTCTGGGCCCATGCGTTCACCTCCTTCTTAAACACTCGGTCAAAGCTCCGAAGGAACTCCAAGTCTCCTGTAGTGCCCTGCTAGAACTTCCCTTTTCCCCTTCCCACTGCTGACTAGTCCACCGTTCACACCTCGCAAAGTTGCTACCCCTATATCCCCCACTTGCGCGGTATTTGTTACCATCCCACTAATCCCTTCCCACATCTGCTTGGCGTTCCCCTCCAGGCCTCCGTTGGCCTTCTGCACTACTTCGCCCCAAATGCACGTTTTCATCTTTTTCACTAGACCCTTCACCTGTTTTCTCTTGGCCCTGTACTTTTCCCAACTCTCCTCAGACCCCTCACTCAGGTACTGCTTGAAGACTTCTCTACGTTCCCCTATTTCTTCTTTCAGCTCGTCATCCCACCACTTAACCGATACCCCACATCGTACCACTTTCTTTCCCACTACTCTCTCTGCCGTTAAGTTCATTATGAACTCCCATCCTTCAATCACCCTGTCCCCTGCTGCTTGTACGTCTACATGTCCGTCTTCGACGCTTCTCAGCAGTTTCCTGAAGGGTTCTACACTACCAGCCAGTCCTTTCTGGAATTCATCCCGTGTCCCCTCGTCTCCCAAACGCTCTACTTTCCACCGGAACACTTTCCTCTGTTTCTTACTCTCCGTCTTTCTAGATCGGTCGATGTTTGCCCATATGAGGAAATGGTCGGTCGAACCTATATCTATCGCACGTACGTGCAGCTCTGGGATTTGTGTGCTCCCCCTATCTACCAGGATGTAGTCGAGGATCGAGTATTCATTTCAAACTGCCCTTTGCCTGGTGAACTCCGGCTTATCGCATTCCCTCCTACCGTTCAACACCATCAGCTCGTTGCTTCCCAAGAATTCAAGCATCCTCACTCCGTTGTCATTCACTTTGTCTTCTCCGTGCTGCCCTATCGCCTGTCCTCTACTGGAAGCTTTCCCTACCCTGGAGTTAAAATCGCCCACCATGACACCTTCTCCCTTCCTACTGAACCTCTGGACATCTTCCTCAATTTGTCCGAAGTTCTCCTGCGCCTTGCTTGCGACTTTCTTCGACGACCGTGGGACGTATACGTTCCCTAGAAACAAATATTTCTCACCCCGCTCCCCAGGTATTTTAAGCCATAGGCTTTCCTCGAACTCCGTTTTCACCACACGTCAAACAAGTGTTCCTTGGCCAGGAATCCGACTCCTCCCTCCCCCCTTTTCTTCGGGTCTAAGCCCTTTCTTGCCTTCCCTACCCACCGGTATTTCCCTAGTTTGCTTACCACGTCCCCATCCTTCAGTTCCCACGTCTCCGGGGGGGGGGGGGGGATACTCATAGTCGTGAATGCCGTACATTGACCTCGCATCCCTCCACGCTTGCACACCGCTTGCATGGTTTCGTGGGTGTACTCGGAGGTGTGCCGCGCAGCCAACTCTCTTAGGGGATAGGGTTGGCGTGGGCGGGGTCATCGTGAATGTATGGTATCTGCCGCGCGTGCCTCTGCACTTGTGTGTACGTCTCCATCAGGGTTCAGGGTTCTGTCCAAGTGGGAGCGGTTTCTTGTGCTTGTGCATGTGGACGCGCGCCTGTGGTGGTTGATCGAACAAATCATGGTGCGCGGTAAAACTCGTTTGTCTGACAGTTGTCACCCTCGTTTCCGTCCATCGTTTGTCTTCTTGTTCGTCTTCCAACGACGACGAAATCCAGCTGGTGGATCAGTTGCTCATAGCGGACACGTTCAAGCTGGGGCACATGATCTTCACCCAGGTGAGAAAATAGTACCACCTTGAACAAACTCGACCGAAACTACCGGGGAGAAACGGTTGTAACCGTCATGATTGGCTAGTCCCACCTCGCAAATCAGGGAATGCCATGGCTCTCCTAGAACCCCCCCCCCGACAACAAACCAAAGAGAGTGTACCGGGCGCGAGCTTTCTATTTTTCACTCGGCGGGGGAGGAACGCAGATAACCCCGTCAAACATCTGCAGCTCTCCGTGGAGAATGTCGTCTCGTTTAACTGCTGGATGATACAAACGTACAAACCGATGCGAACGTGAAGACTTTTTTCGCCAGTCGAACGATGTTTCGTTCTCAGCTGTGTCTCGCAGAGGTTCTTGCTCCTACGAGCCTGATGTAGAGACCTTGGCTTGTGATAACTCATCAGTGGGAAAACTGTATTTTTTGTCAATGTTCCGGGGGGTGCTACTTGAGTTTTCCAAGCCCCCCACGGAAGGCTTCCTCTCCCCGGCAGAACTCCTGCAAGATTTTCGAGAAGATTTTCCCCCGGCGTGCGTGCCAGTGCTTGATTGGACTGTGGAGGGATTCCCTCTTGTGACAACCCAGCTCCCGCCGGCGTACTCAGTATTTACCTGCGGTGGCCCCTCGTCCAAGCGATCCTATCCACACGCGACCCGTGCCCTCCCCTAGGTCTCTCGTTGGTCTACTTCGCTTTCCGTTGGTCAATGCGGCAGAACTTCGGGTACGCTCTTAACCAATCGGACTCATCCCGCCGCCGCGCCTCCGCGCCTGCGCCTCTCTCGCCCAGATCTACGGGCTGGTATACCTAGCCTTTTCTGTCATTTGGTTCTACAAAGGCCCGGAAGACGAGAAGTATCTCTACGAGGACACACTCGATTGGGGCGAGAACAGGCTGCAGGCCTGCCTGTCGGGAGGGGTCGCCGTAGGGGTCCTCGTGCCGATCGCCGGACTGCTGCACCTGGTGGTGTTCAGGTGTGAGACCATCTACTGCTGTCACTGCGTGTAGGAGAAGGGGGGGGGGGTGTCCGGTTGTTCTTTTTTTCGGTCTGCGTTTAGACATGCGTGTTGCAGGCGCTGATGTCATCGCGTTGGAGAAGGGGTGTAAGTTTTCTTTTTGCCACTCTCTGTCCAGACATACGTGCCGCAGGTAGACATCTCGCGTTCGGTATGCTTACCTGCCGTTGTGAAGGATTTTGATCTTTCCGTGCGCCGCGTCCCCATGTGCGTATACAAGCCAAGCATCATTGATGCATGTCACGCGGGATACTTCCAACAGTTTCGAGAACGGTGCCTTCCACTACGAAAATGAAACCAGCGTCAGAAGACGGGTGGTGCTTGTAGGAAGCGTACTCGATCGCCCCTCTCTCTCTTTATCTGTCCCTCTCTTTGTGCCGGGGGCGTTAGAATCGTAAGCCAGGCCGATACCTGCTGTCGAAGCGAACCCACGTATCAAAAAAGCATGTCACCGTTCCTTCGTGCATGACGTGCGTGTGCCTCTCGCCGCTCGCATTGATTCATCGGTCATCGAACTTGCCTCTAACGGCAACATCTGCGTCCGTTCGGATATACACGCCCATTGATGCACCACCGATGGAAAAACCCGTGCCTGCCTCGTACAACACGCGCAGGCTGCGAGAAGCACTCTACGGGAGGGTTCGAGACAAGGACATCGGTACCCTGAAACGAGAGCATTCGTTGGACACGGAGGACGCTTCTTGCCATTCGCTACGGGTAGCTGCAAGCAGCGAACCGCTCTGAGTAGAGGATCCCCTGCATGTTTTCTACATACACATACATACATGTGGTTTTGTTGACGGTGTAATGGATTGGGTTTTGGTTCGGAGAGACCATCATGGCGATGCGGTTGGCGGGACGAGGATGTAAACTCCGGCTGCAGGTATCTCTGGCAGGTGTACGAAACGTGTTTCTATGTAGACTCCCTTTGATACAAAATAAAAAAATATTGAGTTATATCCGTTTCATAAAATGCGCGACCGGTCGCATTTTCGGAACGACACCGCCGAAGGAGCACAAAACTGTTGTGAGACCCATCGCGCATGGTTCCTTGTTGTGCTACCCCTGGTTCGGAGGTCTTTGGTCGATTAGACAAAACGATCTCGGGCGCGAGAAACTGCAAGTCACAGCTCGACCTGCCGACGACGTGCTTGAAAAAACGAGCGCGTACAGACCGACCGGTTGTGTACAGGAACACTCGATCATTTTACAGGCCGCAGGTTTTTGTGAGAAGCATCTGTTCGGTTGGGTATTCACTCAAGGCACGGAGTGTATGTATGCCGCCCTCTTGCCAATCACACACAACGACGCTGTCATACCTGCCAATCACTACGAAGAGAGAATTGCTTGAGGGTTGTATCAGACCAGTGATGCCAACTATCCTACAACAAGCGTCGTTGGCGGGGATATAAGTGGGGAACGGACCCCCTTCGTTTCTGGTGTGTGGCCATAAGTACCGGCCGGTAGCATGTGTATGTTATGGTATTTGAAGGTAGACATGTGATCGTGTTTGATCATGGTTATTTGGCGCCGTCGGATGATAAGACGTGACGTCATACTAGATCAGGGCTTTATGCCGAGACATGTGCCCTTCTGTTCAGTGTGTGCGTACAGACGATCTATGATCGTGTGTGCGCGGGATATTGTGAGTTGGCTTGGAAAGCGTTAATCAAGAGAAAGAGAACAACAGAAAGCAACAACAACCTGCTACTGTGGTCGAACAAGAGAGTTCCACACAGCTCAAAGGTGATTGATTCTGAAGGAAGGGGCCAAATACCATTACACTGGCGTCGTCGGCAGGACTCGAACCTGTGCGTGAAATCACAATAGGTTTCCGTACGAATATGCTCCCCGCGATGTTTGGGCCCGCCGTTATCGCAACACCGTGCTGCCTGTTGGCGCACACTTCTGGTACAAGGCTCAAGACGCTCTATGGTGGCTAGGGAAAATCTCCGGACACACTCCAATTACAAACGTCTTTTTGGTTCGCTTCCTGGATGACCCTGGACCTGTCAAGATCACCCTCTCCCCTTCGCGCTACACGACAGCTTTGGGAGTTGTTTGTGGTTCTTGGTGCCTTCAGCTGCACCGAAGTAGTCCCTTCATGCGAGGTATCTTGCGCAATGTAGACGAATCGCGTGGTACGGCTATAGATGACTGATAGGACTGTTGCCCTTGTTTTTCTGTTTATGTATATGTATGTGTATATGTTTGTGTGTTATAAGTTTGTGTTTTTGTATGTTTGTCTGTATGTTTCTAGCTCGCCCTCTCGATCTATTTTTGAGACTGACTATTGCTTCTGTATGTTTCTAGCTCGCCCTCTCGAATAAGCTCGCCCTCTCGAATATTTTGAGACTGGCTATTGCTCCTTTATGCTTTCCGCTCGCCCTCTCAATATCTTTGAGACTGGCTCTTGCTCTTGTGTTGCGTACTTTCTCGCCCCGTTTGTCACTTCTCGGTCGGTTGTCGAAATTTTTCGCTCCCCTTTCCCTATTTTTCAATGCGACCTAGGTTCGTCATTAGTTGCGGTGACACCCAAATTTGGTGCATCGTTTAACCCCCCCCTCTATGGTTTGCTTTGCATATTTTATGGTCCAACGTTCCGCCAGTGCTTCTATTGCATGCCACGGCCAACGTGTTCCATCTTGCTACTTTCTATAGCATTTTTCTTCATCCAATTGGCCTTAACGTACAAGTAGGATTGTTTTCCTCGCTCCACCCCGATCGCAACCACGTTGCATCGTGACATGCGAACGTTGTTTTTGGCGTTGGTTCCTGTCCTTTTCTTTGGCCGTTGTTTACGTTCCCCGGAAACCACCTTTTGCCATGCTTTTCTCGATTTTGGTCGACCCTTAACGGTTTCCATGTCGTTTTAGCTTTTGCAGGCTCGGTTTTCGTTTCTTATTATTTATGTTTGCATTTCGGAACTCCATCGCATCGTAGCCCCCCTTCCCGTAAGGGTTTGGCTTACTTGATGGCATAGTCGATCGGTTCATTCGTGCGAAATCGTTTGTGATTTTCTCTTCACGATTTCGTTACTTCGTGTTACAATATGGTCTTTTCGGTTCGGATGTTTTGGTTATTTTTCGCACCCACCCATATGCCTTTTCCCGATTTTATCCGCCGACTTTGCCGCCCCCGGGTTCTTTGCTTTCTTCTTTCTTGGTTCCGCTTCTTTGGTTTGGTTAACGGAGAGGTGCGGGTGAGGGTTTTGAGTTGTCGTATCTTCGATCCATCCCGCAATCCTCTTGATTGACTAGAGTCCCTCCGAGGTTTGCTTCTGTATCTGAATCTACGTCCACTCAGGGTGGGCTATTGTTATGGTATTTGAAGGTAGACATGTGATCGTGGTTGATCATGGTTATTTGGCGCCGTCGGATGATAAGATGTGACGTCATACTAGATCAGGGCTTTATGCCGAGACATGTGCCCTTCTGTTCAGTGTGTGCGTACAGACGATCTATGATCGTGTGTGCGCGGGATATTGTGAGTTGGTTTGGAAAGCGTAATCAAGAGAAAGAGAACAACAGAAAGCAACAACAACCTGCTACTGTGGTCGGACAAGAGAGTTCCACACAGCTCAAAGGTGATTGATTCTGAAGGAAGGGGTCAAATACCATTACATGTAGAGGCGCCGGGGCTGTATGTTCTTCTACCTAGCAAGGTGTGCGAGGATAAAGCTTGGCCGCAGGCCAACTAATATCCCAACAGGAGTCTCGACCGTTAGTCTAGTGGGGAAAACAGCAGCTTCATTTGTGGGGGCTCAAAGTTCTAGCCTAACTTGTCCAGAGAGGCTACACCAGTAAAAACCCAAATATAACAGCAGAAAACCAAGCACTTCTACCGAGAGGAAGCAAGGAAGAGATGAATTTCCGATGTGAGATATCCTGAAAAAACTCAAACTCGGAGTCGGCGACGCAGCTTGGTTTGTGATTGAGATTCTACTTCTGTCCGCCACTGCGGTTGGACTACTACAAGAGGAATATATGGACTTAACGACGGGACGCGTCAAGCACAGCGGAAGGCACGCGATGCATGCCGCAGGCGATGCCGCACGAAAGCAGGCAGGCGGATTTTGCTAAGGTCGAACACAAAATGAAGGAGGCGTTTTCTCTTCCACGGTCCCGCCCCTTTCGCGCTGTCCGTGGCACTTTTTATTACAGTCCCGTCTCTTCAGCCTCATTTTCTGTCCGGATTTTCGGAATTTCGGGATACACCACACACGCACTCATACCGCGCTGCGCCGTGTTCCAGGATACATCATCTCACTCGCTTTCGAACTACAGGAGAACAACAAGAAGGAACGGAGAACCACGGGCAGAGGGCACTTCACGAATTGATATCATTCGCCCGCATGTGCTTCCTGAACTGTGCACAGCTGCAACAGTGGCAGAGCGACAGCGTCCAACGCGCGTGACATATTTGAAGAATTTATAACATCCATTGGCCGACGGATTGGTCGGAGAGGGAGAAGCTACAAGTACACAAAACAATAGCTGGTATTGCTCCCTTAGCCAAGGCGGGCCCAGGGGAACGATGTCGAAGGCAGCATTCAGTACGACCATGCTACCCCGTGGGTACGGACGATGGTCCTCGCCTCAATCTGGCGGCATCTCAGCGGGTGAGCGCCAATATTTATTTATGGTTGACACGAAAAGTGTGTGGGAGTTGCAGCGTTGGAGTTTCGGGAGGCAAACCAGTGAGCCAGCCTGAGACGCTAAAAAAAGCAGTAGGTCGGAGCTGGCCAGCGACTCCCATCACGTGTCCTTGCTTCGTCTCGAAGTGTTGGCGGATGGTGGCTGTTGAGAAGCACGATGTTGAGAAGCACGGTAACCACCAGATTATTATTTGACTATTTATGTACTACATAGTGTCTATCGTGCTTCTCAACACAAGCTCATTCTGGGGTTCAATTCTCCCCTTGGGCATTTTATTTGTGCCTGAAATAAAAAGGACGAAAATGCGAACACATGGACTTCGCAAAAAAGCCGCATGATGACCTGCTCGTTGTATCGATCTGGCAAGCACAGCGTTGACTACCAAGCAAAATGGAAACCGTGGGGGAACGTGTGAACAAAAGCCTGACGGACTCGGGCGTTAACTTTTGTTGAGAAGCACGATACCCACTAGATAGACTTGGTCAGCGCTAACTGGTTGTAGTCCAGTGGTCATTGTGCTTCTCAACAGTTGGAAACGCGCTGGGGTGTGTTCGGAATTATTTCCTACGATTGGCTGCGTTCACATCTCGGATTGGTTTTTCTCTGTCTTGCCTTCTCTAACTTTCTTGAAAACACAAGCATGTTTCTCTGATAATAGTGTGTCGATCTGCTGCGTCTGTCTGCTGCCATAACACTGAGTGAGTTTAGAAACAACGGTTCGTTGTCGTAGCTTTGGGTGGGTGTGTAGGACACCAAGGTTTGCATCGGATGAAGTGTGAGACTTCCATATCGTCTCGAGACTACTTCAACCAGAACTCACCGAAAGAACAGCGAAAACACATACCTTGTAGCGAGCGACGAAAATAAAGTCTGCCACGCTTCTCGTCACCGCTTTCGCAGGGCCCGTTGCATGTTCGGGATTGAAATGTAGAGATGATGTGCTACCCGCTTGTTTTATCTCGGCTTAGCACCAACTCCTCTCGCATACGAACCATCCATCCATGCAAATTCCTCGCCATGCCCTGCCCTCGCCTTTCTTTCTGGTTACCGCATCTTCCTCCGTAAAACGTCCGATCCACGAATCCAGGATGTGCGACATGCAAACACTCTTCCACGGCGCTGTTATTCAACCGTAGCGGCTGGTGGCGAAACAAAGCTGATCCCGCTCTCGAAGAAGTCAAGCTACCACCGAGATCGCCGACGGCCTTGCGGCTCCAAACGCCCGACGGCCGAAGCTTGCACCCCCGCCGGCGGCGTGCTGCCAAGCGCCCCAACAAGAACAACAGCCCCCTCACGGATGCTCTCGACGGCGAGGAACGGCGTTCTAGGCAACGGCGACGGCGGGGAATCGTCGGCAATGCCGTCAAATCGAGTGGGGAGTACGTCACGGTCAGGGTCAGGCGAACCATCGAGGTCGAGGTGCCCCGCGGCTACCCCGTCAGCGAGAAGACGTGGACCGAGTTCAAGGCTGGGTGCAGCGTTACCTTCAACAAAAAAATCCGGGTGAGCGGAGGCGTAAAACGTTTATAGTGTGGAGGGTCGGTAACAGCCATGTATGCTTCGCTCTCGGGTGTGATGGGTGTGTTGTACGAGAATGCACGTGACGCGACTCTCGCCTCCTCTTTCTGTTCAAAAATTCACGCGGTTGTCAAGGGGATGCCGTCGGTATCTCTCACTCCGCTCTTAGCTGGCCGGGAATAGAGCGGTAGGAAACAACGTGTTGTTCGGTCTCTCCGTCTCTCTTCTTCTTTGAGAAGTATTTCATGTCTCTGTCTCTCTCCTGCCCACCCCCTCTCATTGAATTGACACTAATCCGCGGCATGGACTGGGCAAGAGTTGGGTGGGAAGTGTCGGTATTTGTTGCATTTCCCAGGGCTTTGAATTTGTGTTGCGTTCTCTAGTGTCAACAGTGGCAGCTTGAAAAACGGTTCCCTGTTGGTGTGATGGGGTTGAACATGGTGCTCGGATGGAAATCATGCACGTAGGTACTCACAAACAGACAGCCTCAGCACAAACAATGTTGGACCAATGACTTCGCACGCCCTGCGAGGTGTTTCTTGGTGTTTTGTCGGGCACAAGTGCACGACTCTTTGCGAGAAGTTCCGGAGGTACCACACGCTACTCTTGTTGTCCAAATGACCTTCTGCCGCTTGCAATACATTAGGGCAAGACAATCATGATGATGTGCTTTGTGCCCCTTTCAGTGGGGACATTGGTATGTCAGACAAAACTTCGTTGAGTCCAAGTCATTAGTCTAAAGGGTGTACAAAATATAAAGCCCGCCGTTCGGTGTAACGTTCGCGCACACGCACCACACTGGGCCCCGTTTTAGTTCGCCAGCGCAACCTCCAATTTCCTGCCATGCCCCCCCACCCCCACCCCCACCCCCCTATGCTCAACAATTTTACTCCCGTCCCCCCCGCGACGTACGACAGGCCGTGCTGTTGCCGTCGAAAGAGGAAATCTACCCAACCGCGGCCTTGTGGGCTTCGTGCTTCTACTCCAGCAACGACTACAAGATGCACAGATTCGACATCTCTGGAAAGGGGGGCGGCAAAGCGGAATGGGTGGCGCTGCTGGAAGAGACTCGGCAGGTCGCTGCGGAGGGAAGGAAGGAGAACGAGGACGAGCAGGAGAAGGAGGACGAGCACCAGCACGAGCACCAGCACCAGCCGAACGAATCTGCGGAAGCGGCGCGGGGGTCAGGAGACTGCCTCGACCAGCCTGAAACAAAGAAACTCGAGCAGGGCGAGGCGGGGGGAGGAGGGGAGGAAGGCGGCGCTGCTAGCGATGGTGGCTCTGACTGCGCCGGCCAAAAGGAGAAACGGTCGCCAGTAGAAGCCGAAGCTTCCCCTCACCACCCCTTCGGCGCCCCGCAGGAAAAGGGAGGAGGAGGAGGAGGGGATGCGAAGGGGGGCAGAAAGCTAACCGGTATCATCATCAATTCACTGAAGAAATGGTTCAGGGAATTAATGCCACACGGGCTGCACGGGCGTGGTGGCGTGAACGTACACATCGACTGGGTGGAGGTTCCACTCGCAGGCGGGAAGAAGTGCATGTTGTAAAGGGTACAGGAAGAAGCAGGTGCCTGCTGGAGCTGAGTAACCACACCGTGCAGAAAAACTCTCCTGGAAGTCGGCGGTGGACGCTAAGATTCCTCGGGTGCGGTGGGTGGATTGCGTGTGGGTGGGAACAAGCGCCGAAAAGTTGAACGCGCGAAGTGTATCGCAAAGCTTGAGAGAGATTCGAGTGAGTCCTCTTCCTCTGCTCAACCCGGCCTGAAACTCTACAGGTAAAATTCCCTACAAGGAGCCATTGTGAGTGGTTGTTCGTCCGTGCACTTTTGTTCTGTGATTCGCCGCTTTTTTTAACTGTGCCAGCGGGAGTCTTCGTGCCAGACGTGTTTTGTTGTGTGGTACGTTGTGCGTCGTACATGTCCTCGGGTCGGTCTGTGATCATGGTAGTTCGCCTTTCTTCGCCAGTGTGGACTGGCGCGTTAGTCGGACAAGCAATATATTATGTCAATTTGTTGTGAACGGGTCGGATTGGATGGATAAGTTCTAGAAGACTAAATGATGCCCAGGATATCGACAGAAAGGGAGTGAAACGGTAAGTACCTCGCGGGACCTTGGTTGTAGCGACGTACAGATGCGATCGCCCCTGGGCATATGATGCTTTTAACGGCGGCGGCAGTTTGGCATTTGTTTTTCTTGTCTTGTTTAGCTGGTTAAGGTTTTGTAAGGAATTGCCTAAGACGAACAATCCTTTTGTTGTCATTTTCGTGTTGTTCCGTTTGCCGTGTGAGTGATGACAAAAGGGGCCGTTCATGTTGCTCAACCATCGGCGAGCCCAGACGTGTAAGAGGTAGGGGAAGGGGGGGGAGGTATCTGTCTTCTTGTCCGGCGTACGAGCCTGTGGAGATACTGTCTCACACACTGAAAGTTTGTGACTCAATAGTCTATATTGTCAAGTCCTGTTCGCCGATCCCAAGGTGACGGGGAGGGTTGACCACGCCGCTCTGGTGCGATAGACTACAGGTTGGAGGTGAAAATCTCCAATAAATTTATCGCGTGGAGGGGAGGGTGCGAAGCGGCTTCTCCGGGCATGTACTGTAGTATGCATGTAGGCGTGATGCAACATAAGGGAATCAATCAATGCCGTTGTTTATTTGTGATGAAATATTAATATTGCTCCACACCACAGATAGATCTGTCACCGGGTGGGCTGTTGTAAGGAAGGGTAGTGAGTGTGTGTCGCACATCTGCATCTATCTCATGTCGTTCTATTTGATAGTTGATATTTGAGATCATTTTTTTGTTGTGGGCTTACGTTCGGACGCGTAAGAATTATTGTCACCTTGCATGGTATTTATTGTGGGGTGGGTGAGGAAATCTCTTAGTTGTGCGTACGTTGGTTCGATGTGAACCGGGTCTCTTCTTGGTTGGCTGTTTGATGCAAAAAAATAATCATGCAGCTTTTAACTACTGGTGGTGTATGCAGTATGCAGTCTGTGAGCAGTGGGCTCTGGTTCTTGAAAGAAAGATTTTGTCCTGCAATACGTACGTTCTTCTTTGAGTTGCTGGATTGCTGTCCTTGAGAGTTTGGTTTATTGTGGTTGTTCGCAGGCGAGTTTGTTCGAAGTAGTAACTGTTTTTTGTCTACCACAGCATAGTTTTTGTGTTTTTCGGATATTGACGAGTCTGGGGTGACGGGATGAATATTGTTTCTCGTGTGGTGAGGTACAGAAAACGGAAACCCTGTGTTTTGCTGCTGTGCGAGGACACACAACCGGAAATAAATTCGGAGAAGAAGCTGGAATTTTCTTTCGGGGTCTCCTCCGCTTTACCACTCAGTCTGACCCTCACTAAACTGCTTATATTATCGATCGATCGATGTGTTGGTGCTTGAGTAAGGACTGATGATGATCTACGTAGATTGACTGGAGCGATCGATGCTACGTGATGATGCGTACGGACCAGATGTAGTTGTCGTAAACCTGACTACTACAGCAGTACGCGACCGAGAAATAGTTCCACCGAACACCAGAAAAACACGAATACTCACGGTATGTGGCACTCCTACAATCGAGGGTCTGGCGAGGAGCACAACAGCTGAACGGCCACAGAAACAAGGGAATTACCGAGACTGCGTGCGACGGCACAAGAGTCCGGAGATAAGTTACTTGAGTGTGCATCAAGGGTAAAGCACGTACCACAGAGTGATGGCAGAAACAGCTCGGGGGAGGTGGCCCCCCGAACCACCATCTCAAACCGCATTATTGTCCGCCAACACAACGGTAGAGCAGGGAGAAAGTAGCAGCAAAAACCGCGACGAAATTCCCCTTCCGTCGAGAACTCAACTCACAAAAGCTGAGCCCGCAACGGCTTTACGAGCGAGAGGATGATTGGGCCGTGTTGTTTCTTACGCTCCTGGGAGACTGCTGCCAAATTTCGCTCGAGAACGACAGCCTCGAGTTCGACGTACTTCCAGCTATTAGCATCGCGGGACCGGGAGTGTCGGGGTGAATCGAGTGTCGAAGATAGAGCCGCTGTCCTCCTGAACGGCTTCGCAGTGTGGAGGGAATTTGTACGAGTGGGCGCCCGGAACTTATCCGTCCCCAAAGCGCCGTGTCTAGTCTGGAGCTAGACTACATGGGTGCAGCACGGGCCAAAGGACACGGCCAAGGACGTCGCGCTATCGTGCACGACTGCAACAATCGAGCTTGGTACGTACACGTTTACCAAGCAGTCGGGAGGGAGGTCCGACCGGCTGCCACGGCACACCATTCACTACCCTCACGGGTGATGTGTTTTTTTTCTTTTTATTCTTGAGCGTGAGTGTGCAGTTCTTCGGCTGATGCTCGGCGACATCACATTGGACGCCCACCAACACCACCGCCACAGAGGCAGCAGCAGCACTGCTGTACCCGACACCGGCCCTATCAGAAGCGGCCGGCGAGGGGCGGTACGCCACATGTACGCCTCCTACGGGACAACCAACAACCGATCTCCACCACACCAAAAACCCACCAGCCCCCGTGCCCTACTCCACCCATACCGTATTCCCGGCGAAAAACCGGACACATGCACTACATATCCGGAAACCAGGAGAACCGGCAAAGGGTTGTTACAGCTGCCAAGCAATCGTCAAGGTGGCGACGCCTAAGCGGAGAGGAGGCAAGCTCCTCCTGCCGCCTTGATCTTCTGTTCGGCGAGCTTGCTGAAGATCTTGGCGCGCACGATGATGGGCACCGCGGGGAGCTTTCCCTTGCCCAGCACCTTGAAGTAGCCCTGTATCAACCAACACGGGAAGGTAGTAAAGACAGATGGGGGTAGGGTGGAGGACAAAATAAGCCGTGTCAATAATGCGGAAAAGTATTACGACAGATGGGGGTGGAGTGGAGGCGAAAAGCACATGTCCATCCAAACATGTTGCACGCGGAGTCGAGGGGAGTAAAAAGGGTCAAGCAGAGCAAAAAAGATAAAAGACGGGATGGTGGACGGTAGCAGACGGTAAACGCGGCGAGCCAAAAAAGTCCATGGTTGGAACGCTGACGTGAGTCGCTGAAGCAAGCACTCTTTCAGCAACGGTTTTCATCGTCTAGCAACCGACATTTTTCGTAGATTGTTCGCGGTCACCACCAGCAACTTGTGACGCTACACGCCGGGCGTCGCGGCCTTACAAGGACAGAGGCGATAGGCCAAGCGTACTCGCCACCTCCAGCAACGCAAAGGGGGGTGGGGGTACACATATTGAAGCGGAGCAACAGCACTTGCGGCTGCCATACAAAACAAACAGGACCAACACAAGGAAGATCAACGGTTGTTGGGCTTTTAAGCGGGGGCTAATTGCAGCCGCCCCTTCGAGAAAGCAGGCACTTGAGGGTACACAAAGCAATTACAGCACAATCTGCGCGAGTTGCAGCCCAACCTCGAATGCTGCTCTGCGGTGCGTCCAAGGTTTGTGTAGGGCCGTTTTAACATTTTACTACTTTCGTTCTTTCCCGCTCGCGGACAGCAAGATTGCACTCAGCGTGCCTGGCACGTATCGCACCATGCGGTGCGCTGTGCCAAGAGCTAGTCGCGCTTGACCGCCCGGATACGGAAGTCAAGGATTTGGTTTTCTCGCTGGGGGTCTGGTTCTAGTAATTACAGTAGTTGGTTCAAGTCACTTGGCGCAAAACGAAGGCCAACGCAGGTCACAGTATCACAGACAAAGCCACAGCCACAGCATCACAAAAATCTCCACCTCCCCCACAACTGTCAGCAATGTCTACGTTCCACAACTCCCAGCCTCTACAATAGTAGCGCGGAGCAGACACCCCCATGTATGTCAACTGCCCTTGACAACTCTCCAGTTGGCAACAACGGTCGCGGTCAGAAGCAGGACAGTTCTTCCTCTCTCGGTTCCCAGACAGGCTACAAGAAAGTCGACAAGTTGACCGATATCAAAATGCATCGACCGCGAGTGCCGCAGCGGTAAGTTCCTCAAGAAGGAAGCGAACTAGGGTAATCGGTGACACGAGGTGTTCCAAATGTGCGTGGTTCAAGCTGTGGTATCGCGCATTTTTCAACGTTTTTTGTTTTTTTCGTGGCATGTATGACTTGAAGCCATGGATGCCGTAGGTCAGGCATTTTTCGGCGTTTTTTTTCTGAGGCCTCTCTCTCGTGCGTGTCCCTCTCACCCATGGTGTCTTCCTCTTTTGATGAAACCCCTTACAGTACAACTACAATTGAGTATTGTGTGTCACATGGTAATCAGTCTGTTGTTTGGCATCATGTATAATCGCGCCGTGCGCTTGGGCGGCAACCAACAACAACACGCCACACCCGGGGTGGTAAAATGTACACACAGACAACAACAACAACAACAACAACAGAGGCCAACCGCAACAAAAGAGAAGAAACGCCAATATAAGACACGCTACACAACGAGACACACAGAGAACGAATAGGCCACGTAGTTTCAAGCAAAAAAATACACATCCAAGAATACCACAAAACCTCACGTTGTCAGTCACGTCGATGACCGGTGCCTTTCCGCCGCCAGCCTTGGCCTGCTCCATGGTCCCCTCGGGCAGCATGGACCACAGCTTGTCGAGGTTCACGATGGGGCAGTGTTCCCGGTTGCGCAACACGTGGAAGTGGCGCATACCCACCTGTCGTTGTTGTCGGGTGGAGATTCGAGGGATGAGACAGGACGGTTCGGTTCTTCGAATGCCCCACCAGCAGGGCGGATCACTAAACAGCGTCGACAAACGAAAACAACGTGAGGCACAAATGAGCTACCGTACAGGAACAAATAGGCTGTGACGGGTTAAGCACAACCCTAAGTGGAGGAAAATGTGCTTCATTCGAGGCGAGAAGGGCGACGCTAAGCCGATCGGGGGGGGGGGGGGGGGGGCCCCCGCCCCAACCGCCTCCCTTTTTTCCACTCCCCCCCC